AGTGGTGCCTCGATGCGCACCCGGGATCCGAACCCGGGCCGCCAGCATCGCAGCGCGCGCACTTAACCACTAAGCCACAGGGCCGGCCCAATAAATAAAATCTTAAAAAAAAAAAAAAAAAAAAAGAAATCACCCAAAACCTAGTGACTTAAAACAACAATAATCATTGATTTTGCTCACAGGTCTGTAATTTGGGTACACCTCAAAGGGGACTGCTCCGGAAAGCATCAGCTGGAGAATCCATTCCCAGGATGGCTCACTCGCATAGCCAGCAAGTTTTTTTTTTTCCCCCCCAAAGCCCCAGTAGATAGTTGTATGTCACAGTTGCACATCCTTCTAGTTGCTGTATGTGGGACACGGCCTCAGCATGGCTGGAGAAACGGTGTGTCGGTGTGCGCCCTGGATCTGAACCCGGGCCACCAGTAGCGGAGCACATGCGCTTAACTGCTAAGCCACGGGGCTGGCCCTAGCCGGCAAGTTTTGCTGGCTGTCACCTGGAGCTCAGCTGGGCTGTGGTCAAGGGGCCTTGGTTCCTCTTCACACGGCCTCTCCACAAGCTGCTGTGGCTTCCTCAAGGCATGGTGACTGAGTTCCCAGTGTGAGTTTCCCAAGGAAAGGAAGTAGAAATTGCCAGTGTCTGAAGTCCTGGGCCCAGAACATTACTTCTGCCATATAATATTGGTCAAGCAGTCACAGAGCCCAGATTCAAGGGGAGGGGAAAAAGACCCCCAACTTTCTATGGAGGGAGCATCAAAGAATTTGCAGACACATTTCAAAACTGTCACCATGTCCCAAACCTGCTCCTCCTGCAGTCCTCTCCATCCACCAGCTGCTCAAGCAACTAAAAGTCATCTTCAGTTGCTATCTTTCCCTTCCCTTTCCATCCAGCCTTCATCAGCAAGTTCTGTTGACTCTCCCCTGAAACATGTCCGGAATCCTTCTGTTCTCCCCTCTCTACTACCTCCACCTTCCCAGACAACCTCATCTCCCCTTGGATGACTGCTTGGCTGGTTGCAATAGTTTGTTAACTGCTCCCTGCCTCCATGCCTGCTTTCTAAAATCTATTCTTCAAACAGTAACCAGAGCTATCTTTTTAAAAAACATCCCACTTCTCTGCTTAACCCCCTCCAAAAGCTTCACAACATATTTACAATTAAACCCAACCCCTCATTCTGGATTCCAAAGCCTGATGTGCTCTGGCCCCTGTCCAGTGCCCCAGCCTCATCTCACACCATTTGCCTTCTCACTAGACTGTGATCCACACACATGCTTGTTCCTGCCGACAGCCTTTGCACTTGGCTTTCCTTTCTCTCGAATGCTCTTCCCCTTGATTATCCCAAGGCTGGTTTCTTCTTGCCATTTAGTTTTCAGTTGAAATAGAATTTCCCCCAGAGAAGTCATCCACCATCCCCCAACCTAAAGTAGCCACGCAGTGATCTGTTACATTAACCTGTTTCAATTCTCAGCATAGCACTTACTACTAGTTGATACTTTTCATGATGATTTATTTGTTCGTTGTCTGTCTCCTCCCTCTAAAATGTAAACTGCATGAGGGCAGGGACCTTGTCTGTCTTGTCACTGTGCATCCCTAGGGCCTAGAACAGTGCCTGGTACAGAGCAGATGTTCGATAAATATTTATTGATTTAGCAGGTAGCAACAGTAGCCCCAGCCAGCCAGCCTTCCAACAGGACCATAGCATCTCCTAGGGTGGTTGACGGGTATAGAAAGGAAGCTTCAGGAGGGCCTCTGTGGCTTGTGCTTGTACCAGGAACACAGCTCTGGTGCATGGACCTGCTCCTGGAAGATGCTTCACAGAGACCAGGTTTATGCGGCCTCCTTCCAACCCCCTGTGTATTCCCATCCCTAGCTTTCTTGTGAAATCAGCAATACAGAATCAGACAGTCGTGAGCACAAAGTCACTAATGTGCTTGGACAGGATGGCGCAGTTCAGCTCACCCACCTCCACGTCGGTCGGGTCACTGACTCAGGTTATATTACATCTGAATTTTCATCTTATGATTAGATGCAGAAATGTAGGCCAAGTCCCAGTATTACAAATTCCAAGTGCTTGTATTAATGATTATGTTAAAAAAATGAAGATGTTCCAAGTTTTGAAGAGAAATTTGGAAATGGGTATTTAGGACCCATCCAAATAAAGAAGAAAAATTTGATTAGGGCTTAAAAAAAATCAATGTTATTAATAGGTTAAAAAAACAAAACCACTGAGGTGAAAAGTGAGTAACATTTGTTAACCATTTTTTTAGTACTTTGGTGGAGAGAATGGACTGTGTACAGAGTTAGTTAGTTTTTTACTGAAATAACAAAACGCCGTGGTTGTGTGTAGTCAGCCCATTCATTAGGGAAGTGGCAGCTTGTTTGATAGGCTTCTTTTTTATTTACTGTAATGAGATTTTTGCCTGTGGATTTAAATTTTTAAAAATTCAATAATATTGAAAATTTAAATTCCTGTGGGAGAAAGTGATTGCAAGGCGCCACTGTGCTGACTGAAAGTGAGATGAATTCTGCAGTCCTTAGAGGCCCGATTTGTGTAGCTGCTTCTGGCAGGGGTGTGACCATCAAGAGAGTGAGACAGCGTTAGCAGTGCTGCTCACGTCTGTGGAGCCGAGGCTGTCTCTGACCTTGGAGAGTGGGGAAGAGAGGCGAACATGATGGGCTGGTCCACACCACGTCCACCCGGACCTTGGATGCCCCGTGGTGGGAAGCCCACTGTGGAAGTAGGACCCTTGGCGGTACCGACTCAGGCTTTGTGAAATCTCCTTTAAATGACGGTGGAATATCCTCATCCGCCAAGGAGATCATGTCTGATCTGAACCCTCAAGTCCCTAACGCAGTGCCCAGCAGAGTCTGAAGGCACAGCTGGAGGTGCTAATCAGCACTGTGCACCTGCTACAGGGGGAAGCTGGCAACGGGGAAGGCCATCAATAGGCCTACATTATTATGTCTGTGGAAGTGCTTAGTTTTTATCTTTTTGTTTCTAATTATTTCTGCTCTAAGTATTTTTAATGATCACTGCTTAGAACTCAAGCGCCTGGAATCAAACTTAGGTCACACAGGCTGGAGAAGGTTGTGGAGAAATGGAGTCCTCCCTGGTCTCAGGTGGATGGATGCCACCTGGAGGGCTCTCCCTCCCTCCCTTCCTCCTTTCCCATTCTGCCTGGTCAGAGCCTGCACCCAGGTGCAGAGGGCTCCCTTAGGGAAGGTTGGGCCAGAGGAGGCTGAAGTTTCAGACAAGGCAGCCCCTCTGTGTCCTCCTTTCCACCACAGCCCCTTGAGGAGGAGTGAGGACCAAGAAGGACAGGTGAGTCTCACCTGAGCTGACTGAAGTCCAGCTCAGCCAGCCCTTGATGTATCCAAGACTTCTGCCCACAGCAATGGGAAGCAGGTGCGACTCAAAGCCATCCTCAGTCCACATCCACAATGCTGGGAAAGAAAAACCAAGTTCAATTTACCAAAATATCTGTATTATCTATAAAAATTGAACTCTAACGAGTCACTGCTATTGGAGGCAGCGATATCCGACTATGCTGGCAGCAGAAGCAGATGGCTGCATCCCACCAGCCCACAGGCTGAACAGTGTACTGAGTGGCATGTGGGCAGACTCATTTGTAAGGCCTCAAAAACCTGGACACTTTGGAACGTAGCAATCGGATGAAAGATCTTGGAAACATCTCCCGGGACTCCTGGGCCGTGTACTTGAAATAGTTCTGGGGGTGCGCCAGGACATCAAACAGAGCCTTGATCAGTTTCTTATCCTGAAAAGAACAGAATTTTTGTTACTGGGCCAAAATATTTAAACATTATGACATTTTGCCAATGGAACTCTAATGACCCACTGTTAGGCAATAGGGTGATCAGCTGAAAAGCACTCTGTGAAAATTGTTTCCTCTGATTTTTATCTTTTTTCCAGTTTTTATTTTTCCTAATTATCTACAAAAAGCATATATTACTTTTATAAAGGAAAATTTAATATATAAAAAACTTTTCGGGGGTGGACAAAAGGGGTAAAAGGAGTACAATATATATGGTGACGGATAAAAATTAGACTATTGGTATCATAGCCTAATTTGCAACAACATGGATGAACCTGGAAGGTGTTATGTTAAGTGAAATAATATGATATTGGTATCATTTATTTGATAATAAAATAATGATATTGGTATCCTTGGTCCCATTTGCAACAACATGGATGGACCTGGAGGGTGTTATGTTAAGTGAAATAAGCCAGACAGAGAAAGACAAACACTGGATGACCTCTCTCATATGTGGAATATAAACTAACACACGGACAGAGAAAACAGTTTGGTGGTTACCAGGGGGAAGGGAGTTGGGGCGTGGGCACAAGGGGTGAAGGGGCACATTTATATGGTGACTGACAAATAATAATGTACAATTGGAATCTCACAATGTTATAAACTATTATGACATCAATAAAAATAATTTTTTTAAATTAGACTATTGCTGGTGAGCACAATGCAGTCTATACATTAATCGATAAATAATAAGGTACACCTGAAATTTGATACTGCTATAAACCATTATGACCTCAATAAAATAATAGTAATAATAATAAACTGTTTTCTTTTTCTAAACCAGATGAGACGCAACATTGGAATTTGGGGATTATCTACAAGGTTACTGTTATGGCAAGTGTTTATTGATAATTATTTATAAGTATCTAAAATTTGGTGAACTTCAGGCCTGAAGGATAAACAAGGAGCCAAGAATCTTCAACTATTTGGAGAATGAACACGCAAACACTATTTGTGGCTGGCTTAGATTTATGATAAACAAGTGTCCCCCTGCTTCTCCCCACGTTTCCAATTAAAAAATACAACTTCACTTTACAACTCTAAAAACAGCGACCTGAATTTTTTTTAAAAAATAAATCTGGTGAAGATATAAAACTGACCTTAGCCCAGAGCAGGCTTGGTGTCTGAAAGGAAGCAATCTGGAGAGAGAGGAAAACCTTTCTCAGGGTGCTTGAGCTCTGTGGGTGGCTGCCACGTCCAGCTTAGCTACCTACTCACCTTCAGTATCTCCTGATGATTCTCAGATGCATAGAGCCTGCCGTCTCGAACTATGTCTTCAATGAGTTCCTGGTAGTCCTCTGTTGGAATGAAGGACATATTTTGCATTTGTATGGTTTAGCTACTTCCAAACTCACTCTTTCTTCCATTTTTTTATAAGGTTCTGAGAAACACCCCTTCTGTCGCTGCAATCAGAACAATGACCACTCTGATACTAAGAAGGCAATCAGAAGAGAACTTCCACAGACTCCCCTACCACAGCCTCTCACCTACCAGCATCTGCATCTCCTGTTCCCTCCTCCCTCAGGTGAACCCTCTGCGCACTAGCCAAGGCCCATCCCTCCACTCTGCTCACCAGCTCCATCTTCTCTCAGCCAATCAAGGGCATTGTTCCAGTAATTTTGCCCTTTCTTTCCTACATGATACAATTTTCTCTCTCTGCTGGTCTTTCCCACCAGCATGCACACATGCTGTTATGTCTCTGATCCAAAAAATATCCCTCTTGATCTCATGTCTCGCTCCAGCTTCCATCCCACGTCTCAGCTCCCCTTTGTAGCAAAACTCCTTGAAAGAATTGTCAACACTTACTGTCTCCAATTCTTCTCCTTTCTTTCTCTCCCAAACCCAGTCCGGTCAGCTTTGGCCCCCACCACTCCTCCAAAACTGCTTGTTGAGGTCACCAGTGACCTTCATGTTGCTAAATCCCCAAAGTCAACTCTCAAGCCTCAGCTCCCTTGATGCATCAGTAGCATTTGACCTGGCTGGTCACCTGTTCTTTTTTTTTTTTTTTTTGTGAAGAAGGTTGGCCCTGAGCTAATAACATCTGTGGCCAGTCTTCCTCGTTTTGCTTGAAGAAGATTGTCCCTGAGCTAACATCTGTGTCAATCTTCCTCTACTTTGTATGTGGGATGCCACCACAGCATGGCTTGATGAGCAGTATGTAGGTCCATGCCCGGGATCCGAACCCATGAACCATGGGCTGCCAAACTAGAGCGTGCAAACTTAACAACTACGCCACTGGGCCGGCCTGTGGTCACCTCTTCTTGATCCACTTCTTCACTTAGTTTCCACACTCCATGGTTTCCCTCCTGCCCCACTGGTTGTTGCCTCAGAGAATCCTTTGCTTTTCCTCTCCCTGACCTCTTACTGTGGGAAATTCCAGGGCTCGTTGCTTGGGTCTCTTCTCTTCTCTGTCTATACTCACTCCCTGGTGAGTTCATCCAGGCTCCTGGATTTTCTCTCCTCCTCTTTTCTCCTTTTTTTTTTTGTCTCTGTCCTTGTATTATGTAAAACAATCAATCCTCTTACCCACCAAGCAAGGCTCTTCTCTCCTCTTTTTTGAATGTGGTTGGGGGCAGGGAGAATTTGGCTGACTGGGGAGGGAAAAAAGCTATGTTTGCTTTCTCATTAATAGTTTTTGGTCCTGACATACACATTAAATGCAGTGCACACCATGTAAACCTTCTCCAAATGCAAATCCCTGCCTTTCAAAGTCTAGGCTATTTCTTACAGTCATAATTCAAATCAAGCATATGCAAAATATAATCTTTTTCAAATTCAAGGCAGAAAAAAATGTCTCTTTGTATGCATATCATGTGCAACAAAACCAAACAAATCACGGGCCGGCCCCGTGGCTTAGCAGTTAGGTGCGCGTGCTCCGCTGCTGGCGGCCTGGGTTCGATCCCGGGCGCGCACCGACGCACCGCTTCTCTGGCCATGCTGAGGCCGCGTCCCACATACAGCAACTAAGAAGGATGTGCAGCTATGACATACAACTATCTACTGGGGCTTTGGGGGAAAAAAATAAGTAAATAAAAATTATAAAAAAAAACAAACAAACAAATCATAGGAACATCACTAGAACTGTGTGGGAGGAGTTCTTGAAAAAGTTTCTCCTAGTCAAGGGCTGGTAAATGGAAATTAACAGCATAATACCCATAATTACTAATTTAACACATGTACAATATCACTGGTACTCTATTCATGTGGTATCTTTCTTCTGATTCTTTTATTTTAGTGGATATAAAATATGAGTAGGGGTACAAGTTTTTTATCTGGAATTCCTCTGCTGCAGTCTCCACCTCAGAGAACTGGCTTCTTTGGATGACGGACATTTTACCACTAGGCACGCCAGTTGCTGCACTGTGTTCTGGTGTAAGAGAGGACTTGAGAGCTGTTGCCACTACACTAAATGCTTCCAGACTGCTGTCTTTACAAAATAGTTCCTCTGCTTTTAAGAACTGCTGTGTCTCCTCACTTGCTCCAACTGTCATGAGAAAAGCAGTGAAGTGTTGTAGGTAAGACCTCAGGCCCTGCAGTCCCACAGACCTGAGCCAGACCCAGCTCTGCAACTTTGTCCTGCTGTGACCTTGGGCCAGTGATGTAAATCTCTAAGCCTGAGTGGCCTCATCTATAAAATTGGGGAAGAACTGTGTCTCCTTCACGGAGTGATTGTGAGGAATGTGCCACATTGAAAGCACTTAACACGTGCCTGGTACTCAGTAATGCTCAGGACACGTCAGCCACGACTACAGTTCTCCCTGCTCTCCTGTGGCCAGTGAGCTAGTCTGTAGTAGCTTCACTTGCCCCTTCTAGATGTGATTTCTATTCTTCTGGGCTTGGAAACTAGATATCAAACTTGTCTGAGATATATATTGAAAAAAAATGACTAAATAGGCACTAAATGAAGACCTAAGGGGCCTCTGCCTGGCCAAAGCAGCCGATTTCAACTATTTTCTGCCGTGCAAGACACACTCTCTTGGGCCTAACCAGGGTTATGTGTAGTTTCCCTGGTTCAAGCTATAACTCTTTTCTTGAATTAAAAAAATACCCAGACGTTTTCGTGTGTCACTAAGGCAGAGTTGAGAACAGCGAGACTAAAGTATGTGAGCTTTGGTGACATTTATTCTGGAGTCTCAGTGACTTTTTTGGTTCCTTCCTGATTTCAGATGGGGGAGGTTGTCAGTCGGCTGCTTTCAGGTAGGTGAGGTGCTCTGTCTCTCTCAGCAGAGCCACGTGGGAGGCATTTGTGTCCACCTAGGAGTCTGAGACTAAGAGCCCTTGTCTTGGGTGTTTGACATGGTTTCAGGCACAGGGATGATGACTCTAGCTTGTGTCACATGGTAGAAATAAACTGTGTGAAGTGTTTTTAGGAAATCCATAGAGTGTTGTCTTTCCAAAACATCTCCTTTTGGTGCTTGTCTGCCTAATAATCTTCAACGGCTCCCTATAAGATTAGATCTACCCTTCTGAGCTTGGCACTCAAGGCTCTTCACAGCCCAACCCCACCCCTTTCTAATCCCATCTCTCACTCCTAAGCCCCATGCACCCTGCCAACTGGCCAAATCAGGCTGTTCATCAGCCCAACAGGCTGTTGATCACCCCAACATGCCAGGTCCTCCATCCTTTTGTCTATGTCGTTCTCTCTTCCTAAATGCTCTTCTCATTTATAGGAAAACTTATATGTTCTCTCAAGACCCAAATCTGTTGAGACTTTGCTCTACTCTTTCTAAAAACCCATGCAAAATTAACTGCTGCCCCTTCTTCTATGCTGACACAGAGCCTTGTACCTGGCCTGTTACAGCATCTATGACAATATATAATTTTTTGTGCCTCTGTCACTAACCATGTTGTCTCCAGCACCTAGCCCAATTCCTGGCACAGTAGATGCTTATTAAGTATTTGTTGGATGGATAAGTTCATGAATCAACAGATGACTTTTCGCCCAGTAGACTATGAGGTCCTCCAGGACAAGGTCCAGGTCATTTTGTGTTCCTAGTAAATGTTTCTTGACCAAGTCTCAGAGCTGGGTAGGGCCCCAGGGCTCAGATGGACCACCCCTTCATTTAATGAAAAGAAAATGAAACCAGAGAAGTCATCTGATTTGCCCAAAATCGCACAGTGAACTAGTGGCAGAGACAGAACCAGAACTTGGGTTTTTTCCCCCTCCTTAGGATTTCATATAATAAAAGCCACAATCATAATAAGTTGATATTTACTGAGCATTTACTGTGTGCTGAGCACTGCACCAAGTCCTCTACAGATGATCCCATTGAATCTCACATTAAGTCTAATGATTATCCTCATTTACACATTAAGAAAATGAGGCTTAGAGATGGTAACACACACAAAGTCACAGAAGAGATTATACCCAGGCTAGCTGACTCCAACATCCATGTTCTTACCCACCAAGCTCTGCTCACTTTTATTTACTTTCTAAAACATCTTTTCATGTTTTAGAACCACTTATTATGTGTCCTCAAATGCCTGTTTAAAATTTGGCACTTATGAGTCAGCAATTTCCTTTCTCCTATCCTCCCTGCCTTTCTGAGCATGTGTGCTTGTCAGCAATCCACCAGATGGCCCAGAAGTTGGTTCCGTTCAAAGCAGAGAAGCTCCTTCCACACACTGCAGCCTGAGCTTCACAATGCTTACCATCATACGTCACGTATGGGACCTGGAACCCTCTGGCACTGTTCCCTTCATTGGACTTAAACTGAATCCACAGCTTCTTTGATCTGGAGGTGAAGGCGATGGGGCGTTCGTAGGTCTGGCAGGTTTCATATGTTGTCACAGAATTGGATGACGCTGCCAAGGGAAGTTGAGGGGGCGGGTGGGGTTCAAAACTCATCACTGAGCAGGCAGACAGTGAACGCTCACCTTTTCAAACACTCATGCCATAAAACAAGTTATGCTTAAGAGCTCTTCAGGCCCGGCTGAGCCCTCATAAGGGCCCAAGTCTTGGAAATAGAGTAGATGCAGCTGGTGGTTGCGGGCCCCCAGGGAAGGGTAACTGAAAGGCCCCCCTGCTCTGCAAACAGCAGCAGCCCGGGCCGCAGCACTCAACGCAGGAGCTGAGGAGAGGGCCCTCACATTCCAGGGCTGACCTGCTATAATCTAGCAGTAATCCTCACCATTTACTGCATGCTTCCGAAGACCAGACAGCGTGCTAAGCACTTTATGGACTTTATCTCACTTAACCCTCCAAAAACCATAGGAAGTGGATGCAGTTGTTACCTCATTTATAGAGAGATTAAGAACTTGCCCAGGGTCATGATAACCCTAGGACTAGCAACTATTATCCTCATTTTAACAGACGAGGAAACTGAGGCACAGAAAGATCCAGAATGTATGCTGAAGATCACAGAACTAATAAAAGATGAGCTGGGATTCAAATCCAGGCAGTCTGGCTGCAGAGCCCACTCACTACACTGCCTTATGCTGTGTTGATGGCAGCGTCCCTTTATGGACACTGGGTCATACGTCATGATGGGAGGAGGGTGCCTCCTGGCTGGACCATGCCCTTGGCCTTGGTCAGTCCTCAAGCCATGAGTTGCCTGCCAGGTGAGGCAAGTGTCTGGGGCCAGCCCTGCATGAGCTTCACTGACTCTCTGTGTCCTTGTGAAAGAGGGTCCCCAGTGAGCAGAGAGGGGGAGGCTGACCTGCAGGAGAACTACCTCTGGGGCTCAGCAAGAGGCTTCAACACGTCGTTTTTGTCTAAATTTTGTTTCTTGGCAAACTCTATAAACTCATGTCCTGTCTCTGTTCTAATACAGAAGTGACATTCTAGGCCTGCTTCTCACATTTAAAGCTGGGGAGCATGCCGTCAGGCTTCCCGGCTGGCCCTAGGAGGGGAGGGGAGCAGAGGGTGAGACGCACAGGTTTTCCGCATCACCAGGTAGTCTCCACAGTCGTCCTCTATGGGCAGGAAGATCTCAGGGACCACAATCAAGATGCGGCGCTTGGGGGGTGGGTTGATGGTCCATGTACACTCGGTGTTGGCTGGGTAATTGCCTGGGTAGTTTGGGGATTCGATGTATCCGGTGAAATCGCCCAGCTCCCCTCCACATCTTCTGTCTGGAAGAGGAAATGCCATGAGTTATGAAGGCACAACACAGTTACCACTCTGTCATGGCCTGCGTCTTCCCAAAAAGCCTGTCACTCTTCTGAGTCTGTGATTCCTCCTAGCTGCTTTCTTGGGCATAAAGCTCTTTCTCCGGCTCTCTTCCACCTTCCCCATCAAAACCTTCTCATGCCCTCCAGAAGCCTTTCCTCATCTCTCCAGACAGAGTGAATTGCTTCTTCCTCTGCAATCTGCAGTGCCAGGGACTCATTCTGCTTGTAGGGCCTGGCATATAACAGGTCCTCAAACAATGCTTGCTGAACAGGACTGAACTGAAATTTTGCACCCAGGAGGAAATTACAACAAGTACAGCCTGTGGATGTGCCTGGAGAAGCAGCCAGGATCAATAAAGATGAGTAGCCAGGGGTCAAGCCCTGCTCTTCTTCGGCGCCGATCTGCAGAGCTGGGAGCTGGGCTAACAATGTCGCAGTGAACCTGGGACCCCTGCCACCCCTGCCCCCAGGTAGACCCAGGTGCTTGCCCTCTTAATCAATATGGTGAAAAGCTTTAGAGAGAGACCTACTTTTACACTGGGTTATGTTTGTGGAGCCATCAAAGTCAGTCATAGTATTTCCTGGGCAAGAAACACAACTATTTTTTCCAAATTCAGGCTGATATGTTCCTGCTGGGCAACGAATACATCGGTGAGTGGTGGTGTTGTAGAAATGTCCAGGGGAACACTGAACTGTGGAGGCAGGGGAGGGTGGAAAGAATGAAAAAAAAAAAAGACCGTATTTTCATCAAATGCAACATAAAAGGTTTCACAGTTTGTGAAATAAATTTTTATGGCCAAATGAAGCACTGCTTTCCTACTAATCTGGGGCTCATCAACACTTAATTCCCTAAATAGCCAGCTGCGGTGGGACTTGTGACTCATGACACAGAGAAAAATACAAAGGGAACAAAGCACGGGTGTATCTTCAGAGAGATCATGGTCCACACAGAGTCAGGCATAAATGACCACAACTCGAGTCTTCATGCAGAGCACGTCTGTGAGTATTGGGGGCTGCAGAACTGACACTGGGCTTGGAGTTGGGCTCCTTTAAGAGGCAGCAGGGGTGGGCTCTGGAGAAGGGATAGGACCTGTCCTGGAGCAGGGAGCTCTAGGTAAGGGCCCTGAGATGGAGGAAGGCTGGAAGGAAGGAGCCGAGGAACCTGTGTACAAAACCTGCTCATCTCTCCTGATCGTCCCTCCAGTCAGCCCGTCTGAAGTGGCCAAGGTGGCTGCAGGGGAGACATGTCTGGGGAGTTCCTGTACTCCCTGCACATCCTGCAGGGGTGGATGGAGCTGGGACCTGACCTCCTGGCCACTGGGACACCACACATGTCACCTCTGGGCTGGGCTTAATTGGACCTTTACCAGACTCCCATGGTTCTCAAAAGGGAAATTCAGTTCTGGAAAAAGGCAGGCTGCCAAGTCCTTACCTCTGGTTTCACAGTCCTGAAAGGAAGTGGCTCCCAGGTGTTTGGTGGGGAGGCCTCCTCCACAAGGGAAGCAGGAAGTACGGCCGGCTTCAGGCTGGAATGTGCCCAGGACACAGGGCTGGCAGGGTGTAAAGCCATCTGCAGAATATTCACCAGGTTGGCACAGACCTGGGGGGACCAATGACCCTAGGTGAGCAAGGCCCCTGGGCAGACCTTTTCCCATTTCTCTGCAGATGAGATCAGACTCTGGTCATGCCTGTCACTCTGTGTTGACCTCAGCTCCCACTTCAGTGAGAGAAGTCCTGTCCAGCCCTGCTGCTGACTCTGAGTAGATGGCACGTGAGCGCCTGATGTTTACACATAGGGCTACACAGCATGGTGCAAAGAGGGAAACCCAGGAGCCAAGTGTCGCCTGCTTCCAAAGTATGGGGCAGGCCTGGGTACGCTTCAGAATTAGGACTCATGGTGCCCAGGCAGACCCTGCAATGCAGGAGCCTTCAGAGAAAGAGTTGTCTGCTCTGGAACCAATTCAGTAATTCAACCGAGAAGTACACCCTTACCCAGCTGATTACATCCTAGTGAAATAAAGACTCTTCAGGCCATGGAAGAATCTCCTCCGTTTTACCAATTATATTTACTAAGTCACATCTCCTTACAGTGAGGTGTGTCCTGGCCTGCCTCAATTAGTCTACTAAATCCAGCCAATCCAACCCACGTTGACAGAGGGACCAGTGGCATTTACTTTAAGCACCTTACTTTATTTTTTTTTTTAAGTTTATGACAAGAAGAACAGCCATAAACAAAAGGATTTCTAAAAGCATATGTTCCTTAGGAATTAGCTTGTCATTAGCAAGATGCTATAAAAATCTGTTGTCTCTTGTATTCCTAATCATCTCTCCTCTGTTAATTTTTATGGTCTTCTTTCCACCCATAAGTTACAGATATAATAGCATTTAACGAACACACACCTAAGGGAGGAGACTGGAGTCTGTCAGACCTGGGTTCTGATTCCAAATCCTCCACTCCTTGGCTGTGTGACCTTGAAGGAGTCACTTTAACCTCGTAGAGTTGTTGTAGTGACAAAACCACCATATGAATAATTCCTGTAGTACACTTAGCATGAAGCCTGGTATAGGCAAGTAGTCAATAAATGTCAGCAATTATTATTATTATTACTAATATTCTTATTACTATAAATATATCTTAATAAGGTCACATACAAGTGAGAACAGATGCCCCAAATTGCCTCCTTATCGACTTTGCATTTAGTTCCGGGGTTTCAAAACAGGCAAAGATATGGGAGGAGTCACACAGTCAATCTGAGGATCTGATTTTTCAACCAGAAAAAGTCCTGCAGTTGAGTCTGGGGGCATTGAGCTAGGAAATAAAGCTGGCTCTGGGAGTCACTGGAAGGAGAGGCAGGGTCCGCTGGGGGTCCTGTGCACTCCGCTGTGGACATCACCATGTCAGATCATACCTTCCATTTGAGCCCACAGAGTATCAATACAGATGGCCCTTTTTCCATTAATAAAAAGGAAAGTCATTTCCTAATAAAATAGATAGGAAAGAAGCCCACAGAACCTAAGTGAGCTTGGCTCCAGTGTTAACATTTTATAAGAGACAATTAAAAACTCGTCATAGAGTTTTAACAAAACAACCAGATGGATACTTTTTAAAAATCAATAAATTATGAAATTGAGACCAAAGCTGGAAAAATAACCAGAACTCCTTTCTCATTTTAACACTTTCAGATAGTCCCTACACACTGGGAGATTGCTCAGGTCTCAGGGAATATTTATTTGTAGTGTATAAAGCATGCAATTGCAACATTTACACTTTTTCTTTTCCGCCAATGTGTTCTATCAGATCTTCATTTATTTGTGCAAGAGAGCATCAGCCCAGCATGTGTCAGGCACTGAGGTAGGCAATGGAGAGCCAAAGATGAACCCAATATGGTGCCTGCTCATGGGAAGCCCATGGGGCAGTGTGCATTGTCTACACTGAAATGCTGCTTATGCCTTCTGTCTAAACAACAATATTGGAGACTGGAGGAGTAAGAAGGGTCAAGCAGAATCCTTACCTCCACAGTCAGACACATTCCAAGCTTCTGGGGTCTTCAGGGCCCCAGGATTTTCTGGTCTTGGGCACGGTTCGCATGTGATTTGTCCTTCCTCATTTTGGAAGGTTCCATTTGGACATAAAATGCAGCGTTCTTGTGCTCCATCATAATATGTCCCAGCCCTGCAACTGACTAGCCAAAGGGGGAAATGATCTGGTCAGTGAGGGGACAGAGGCCAAGGAAGGATGATGTGAGTGCAGGTAAACAGATGGCATTGACCGCACATTCCCCCATCCACACCCCCTGAATACAGAATGCACACCACCTCTGGGTTCCCTGTGCACACTCCTCTGCCACGATCTCTGTCGCCCACTGCTAGAGGTGTTTACAGGTCCTCTCTCCCTAGACCATGAGCTCCTTTGGGGCAGGGATCACAGTGGTCCTTATTATTTTTTAGTACAAGCACTCGATAACTCTCCTACTTCCCAGGGCTGTCAGAAGAATTATAAAGGTGAAAATCCTTCATTGAACATAGGCCTAGTACTGAAAGAAGAGAGAGGAGGGTGCTGTTAATTCTGGCCAGTGGCATCCCTGAAGGCTTCCTAGAGGAGGCCACATTTGTGTTGGGCCTTGAAGGATGAGTAGGATCTCCCCAGGTAGGAAAGGGGGCAGGTTGTAAAGATTCATGCATGACATATGGGAAGCGAGGGAAGAAAGGAAGGTTGGGGATAGATTGAAAAAGTTCTTGAATGCCAGGCATTTGGATTTTATTCTGCAGGTAAAGGAACCATTGAAAGGAGAGGAATATGACCAGAAGATGTGTTTTGAAAAGCTCACTTTCAGGTGGCTGTGGGGAAGGTGATCTCAAGGGTCTTACAGATAAACTCTCTAAAATAGCATGCTTCATATTAGTAACAAAATTAATACGTTACAAAGAGTAAACCCTGGTAAATGTCTCCTGAAAGAATAAACTACAAGGAAATTAATAAACTATGCTTCTGATTATATTTCTGGTGTCGTTAGCTAAATGTTGATTTATTTCTTATTTTAGGATATGAATATAAAGTAAATATACTGAATTGGGTTCCCTGGTATAATATTCAAACATCATCATCACAACCATCAAAATAGCCTTTCTAATGGCTAACATTTGTTGAGTACTTAAGATCTATCAGACACCATGCCAAAGCTTTACATACATTATCTCAGTTATTCCTAAAAACAACCCTAAGGAGCGAGGTGCTATTATTAGCTCCATTTTACAGAAACAGAGACTTAGGGACGTTAAATAATTTGGCCAAGGACCCACAGCTAGTTTGTGAAATACACCTACGGTGAGATCAAGAGCTTTGAGTTTAAGGGGAAAAAGGGCATTTAACAAAAGAGCAGACTGAATCACAACTCAAGACTTTGCCAAGGATTCTCCATGGGGCATTAGGGGAGTTTGACTGGAATAAACACGTTCTCTTTTATACTTAAGGTGCCGAGAAATAGAAAACAAAATATCACATGACAAAATTAGCTATTATATCTCTTGAATGTCTGTAAGGGGGTATACCTGTTTTCATCCTATCCTACAAATGCAATCTGCATATATACTTTTAGGGTTAGACAAGACAAAGTTCTATAGAGAATCAGTAATAAAAATATCTTTTCATTATTCACTCCATAATCTAAAAAAAAAAGAAATGAGGCTTTTTAAAATCATAGTAAGCCAAAATATGCTACATTTCAAATATTATTTCAAGTACAATCAATAAAGTCTACTCTAAAGTCTGAATCTTAATACTTTTTTATATTGTTTGTATTTTCTTACAATACCGACGTATCCTTTTTATTTAATTTTGTGATTTTTTAAAAAAAATTAAAAGTGGACCAAACTCTTGCTTTCTTGGCAAACAACATTATAAAGAGTACGACGCATGGATCTGTGGCAGACAGAGCCTATAATTCCAGACTTATTCTCTAAATGCAGCCCTACTGGATAATGGCTTCCATAATTACTCTGGTTTCAGCTCATCTTCCGTGAAAAACTGGGCTGAATTATGTACCAGGAATTCATGACTTTTTATTCTGTGTCCCACCTGATTATCTCAGTGCATACAGCAGTTCAGTAATAACCCCTTCATGGCTCTAAGAAGCCAGCTGTCATGAGGACTGGCAGACAGGAAATAAAACCAAGGCTGTCCGGAGCCCTCTACAGCCCAGGCCATTTCCATTTGGGGAACAGCTGTTTTCATAACACTCCTTCGCCTAAAGGGAAACTACTCATATGATGGCAATGATTCCAACTGCCCCATTATCACAACTTAGAGCCGGATCAGCATGGTCTGCTCCATCATGGTTCCTCTGGCAGAAAACGGATCCCTCCATGGGTGGGTGTCCACGGGGGGACAAGAATGGACCTGGTTCTCACTGAAAAGAGTAACTGGAGGGGCTCCTGCTGCTCTGCGTGCCCACCCCTCCTCAGAACTATTTAACCCCCAAAGCCTTTTCAAGGTTACATTTTGAGAAGCCTCACAATATCCCACATCTGTTGCAATTTCTCAACAGAGCAAAGGGCTGAGAAATGCCCCCGGGGCTGCCCTGAGGAAAAGAGGGCACCAGTTCTTTCTTCTCACAATGAAAGGTCCACATCACATAAACAAACTCATATTGTCATTCACGGTTTCCATTTTCCTTTCAGAGAGAAAGACCTACAGAAATAATTTATGCCTAGCACCTTCTAAATTAATTTGTTTCTTTCACAAGGTAAAAATGAGCCGAACACTAAAAAGCGATTCCGAAATGTCATGAAGAGACGCCTGAAAACAGCTCTTTGCAAATGCGCCGAAGATCTGGCCTGAAGAGACCTCAATCACACGTTCCAGTTGGTTCTCTTTTCTTCTTGAGCAGCCAGCTTGTTTTGCTGCCCCAGACAAAGGAGTCAATTGCCCCCAGAACACTTCACGATCACAGCAAAGCTTTTGTGTGTCTTCAGTGACCATTAAAATCCCATTCTCAAATCCCACACAGCTGTTTTCTCCCTCTCTTTAAAAAAAAATACAAGAAAGCTTTTCTGATGCAAAAGGGAGAGACCAGCGGGGACCAGGATTAATGGCAACAGAGAGACCTGAAGGCTCACCCTCTTTTCAACACAGCGGCCTTTGAGTATTTCAGGCTATGGACAAACACTATGGTCTCTCTGTGGCGAAGATGGTGACCTAATAAAAGAGGTCACTCTCCAGCATCTGACTGTTTTCTTAAGATTCACGCCTTGACTTCTGAAGGAGAGCCACAAGCAGCCCGCGCGGGTTCCCAGCGTGCCCTGGAGCTCCTGCTTTGTCACAGCTCAGAGGAGATGGAGCTCTAGACAGTGCTATGGCCTCAGGATCCTGGTTCGAACTCCTTTTAAATGAGTGTTTTGGGATAACAGGAGACAGCACCCCCTTGGGCTAAGCGGCCGATGTGCCATGGCTGTCCAGGTTTTTGCTGTGTGCTCAGGTTTGTTGTCTGAAACATCCTCACAGTTGGGACAGAGAGATGAGCCCAGCCCACTGCCTTCCTAGCTGGGCTCCCCAAGGTAGGCTATGTCCTCCTTATGCCTAGTTAACTGCAGCTGAGATTTCACTTCCTTTAGAGTGCCAATTTTGCCCTCAATTTAAATATTTCCCTACACATTTGCCCTTTGCCTTCTTTTCTCTTAATCTTGGTGACTATCCTTGGGATTTCATCTGTTGTCCTGGGCAGATTCGTGTATTCATTTATTCAACCAAATACTTAGCACTGATTATGTGCTGAGCACTGTTCTAGGACCTGGAGATACAGCAGAGAAGAAGACAGACATGGCCCTGTCCTGCAGGGGCTCTCATTCTAGTGGAGAATATGGACAATAAGTGAGCAAACAAATAAATATAAAGGAGAATGCTAACTAGAGGTAACTGTGATAAAGAACATTAAAACAGGGTAAGACGGTAAGACCAAGAGTGGTGGGGGTGGCATTGTGTGGAAGCTATTTTAGAAGAGTAGCCAGGAAAGGCCTCTCTGAGCAGAGATCAGACTGAAATGAGGGAAGTAGCCCTGCCGTGGTGTTAACGGTATTGCTTAATAGCAGAAAGGCCAGTGTAACAGGGACATAGTGAAACAGGCAGGGTATCAGGAGATGAAATCTGAAAAGTAAGCAAGGGCCAGATCCCGTAGGTTCCTGAGGTCATGGTAAGGAAATCAGATCCTACTCAAAGTGTGTTGGAGGTTTTGAATGGGGGAGTGACATGACCTGATTTATGTTTCTAAAAGATCTTCAGGCTGCTGTGTGGAGAACAGACTGAAGGCAGGCAAGGGTAAGGAGAACAACTGAGAGCCTATCACAGTAGACTGGGCAGGAGATGACAGTGGTCTAGAACAGAGTCATAATAATGCAGGAAGAGAAAACAAGCTGGATTCAGGATATAATCTGAAGGCAGATCTGACAGATTTGCTAATGGATTGGATGAGGAACTTGACAAAATGAGAGATGTCAAGAAGACTCTGAGGTTTTCAATTTGAGCAACTGGGTAAACAGAGGTGCCATTTGCTGAGATGAGGGAGAAGCAGGCTTTATTTGGGAGGGAGGAAAGAGAATAAAACGTTTTGTTTAGACACGTTGAATTTGAGATGCTTGTTGGCCATGCCAGTGTTGATATTGAGAAGGCATTGGTTATCCTGATGGTCTCCAAAGTAGAATACCACACCTCAGGGGATGATCCACTGGGTGTGGGCAAAGCACTTTCACATCTACATATATTAATTTTTACACAAAAAATAAGAACTAAAGAAAACTTCACTGGTTTAGTGTATGGTATAAGATTGGCCCCTCAGTCAGTCCACATCTCCAGGAGTCATGTGTCTTCACATGACAGACACATGTGAAGACACAAGGTCAGACACATGTGAAGACACATGACAGACGCACGTAAAGACACAAGGTCTCCAAGAAAAGAGAAGAGCAGGCATTCCACAACTCTGGGGGTGGGGATGTACTGACTGATTTGCTTCTTTTTAATGTGTTGAAAAGAATTACAGTTTAATTGCGCCTGGTTGAATAGATTTCCTGATTATATTATCTAGTTTCCACCAAACTAACTGTCACAAAATAGAAAGCAGCTTTGAACACTTCCTGTAGAAACCGGGACTAAAGGTAGAAGGAATGATGCGAGCATGGGGGAACAACAGGA